ATCTCAACAGAGTCATTGTGATGTGACTGTCCCAAGCACAATTCCCAAGGGAATTGTCCCTAAATCAATGAACTTCTAGAAGGGATGATCTGAGACAAACCTCAAAGGAAAATTCTGGGAAGAGGGCAAATACACAAGCGATGTCTGCATTTCCTTCTAAATTTAGACTTTTTAGTATATTTTCACTTAGATTCTCCACAAATACTACTTCTATAAATCTCTTTTAAGCTCCAAATCTTGGCACTAGAATATTCCCTTTTGAGAGTCTTTTTTGGTTACCATGAAGAGAGTTTTGTGCCTTATTGACACAAATATCTCAAATGTCTGCATCAGCTTGCTGTGATGAAAAGTAAACCCAAGTGACCCCACTTGCAGTCCTTGCAAATACCTTTGAAACCAGCAGAGGTTTCTACAGTTCAAGGTTTCTCCACTTTCCCTGGCAATGTAAAACGTCAGTCTTACCTCGCAGGCCATGAGAAAGGCACTCAGCCCACATCTATATGGTCCATACCCATTGATAGAGTCAAAGAGGCTTCATGGCTCAGGGCACAGCAATACTTGTTTCGTTTGCAGAACTCTGGAATCGATTATGGAGACATTTCTTCCAGAATGGCCCTCCGGGAGAAGCTGAAATGTAAAACTTTTGACTGGTACCTGAAAAATGTTTATCCACTCCTGACACCAATCCGCAGCATCGTGGGCTATGGGACAGTATGTATTATGAAATTGCATTTTAGATTTCAAATGCTTGACTGCAAAAGACAAGGGAACCCAAGTCACAGGACTGCCCAGCTGAGAGTTTCCCGAACCCGCCCAACCCAAGACCCCTCTTCTCCCACCCTCCTTCCCTGCTCTCTGCCCTTGGACCCTCTGCTTCCTTTCATCTGCTTCCCAGCTCTGGCCTTTCTTCCTTTGCTCTGCTTTTAGTCTCTGCAAACTGCAGCCCTTGTCCTGACCCTCACCATTGGTTAACCAATCTGAGTGTCTGGCCTTGCCCATCGGAGCTCTGCAGGGGCGCCCCTTCCCTGTAAGTGAGGTAATGGGTTGCGGTGTGGGGTTCCCGGGAGGTGGGTCCCAAAGTGGCCTCACTTCAGCATTTGTCTGTCTCCCAGTGCTTAGTAAAGGCCTGCCATGGGACCAGTCTTTGTTCCTGTTGGTTGGGGTTTCTTGGTTGCCGTGGTGTACTGGGGAAAACGCAGGCCCTGGGGAGGCACAGGGCCCTCTCTCTCTGGTTCTTTCCAACAGTGTTGTGTGTTTTTTCCCTTCAGATGAAAAACTCATTGGATAAAAATGTCTGCCTTGATATGGGACCTGTTCCAGGCAACACCCCCATCATGTATAACTGTCATGCGTTCAGTCCACAGGTACCTTCCACGTTCTTCCCTGTCCTGACAGGCCGAGTCTCTGATGGCTCAGCCCCTGGTACCCTCTGCCCTTCTTACTCGGTGTTAGAGGATGCGGAGGCAGGAGCTCAGCGGCTTGGGCGACGGAGAAGCCTGAAACCCAGACAGTGCGGGTCACTGAGCACTTCCTCGTTTGTTCTAGAAGTCATGGGGAGATAGTTCTGGTTCGGGTACAGGAAGGATAGGTGGAAAGCTCAGGCTCTGTAGCATTCATTCGCTGTGGTAATATTTTTGACATTCACCTCCCATCCCTTCTACTTTTCCCTCTATGCCCCACAAAGTGGACAGGAAGCCACCTGTGCTTCTCCTGTAGAGAAGACAGAGGCTGCACAGAAGTTCCTCCAAGGGATGGAAAAGCTCTGGCACCAAGTGGAGGCCACAGCCAGGGCACTTATTTGTTACTGAGAATATTCACACCTATTGTCTTACCTGGCTGCCCTTACGGGCACCTTTTGAGGTATGAACAATAGATATCATTTCCACGTAGATGCAAACCTGGGACATATAAACGATCTCCTTGTCCAAGCTCACTGAGCAAGGTAGAGGCAGATCAGGACCCTGAAAGGTTTCCTGGCTGGGTGTGGTGGCTCACACCTGTAATCCTAGCACTCTGAAGGCCAAGGAGGGTGGATTGCTTGAGCTCAGGAGTTTGAGACCAGCCTGAGTAAAAGGAAGGCCCCATCTCTAAAAATAGCTGGGTGTTGTAGTGGGTGCCTATAGTCCCAGCTACTTGAGAGGCTGAGGCAAGAGGATGGCTCAAACCCAGGAGTTTGAGGTTGCTGTGAGCTATGAGGCCATGGCACTATATCCAGGGTGATAGAGTGAGACTTTGTATCAGAAAACAAAAACAAAAACAAAACAAAACGAACAAAAAAGACAAAAAGGAAAGAAAAGAAAAGAAGAGGTTTACTTACCACAGCCCCATAGCTGGGGCTAAAAGTGACAACTTTTTTTATGAGACAGTTTCAAGCTGTCACGCTGGATAGAGTACGGGCATCACAGCTCACAGCAAACTCTTGGGCTTAAGCCATTCACTTGCCTCAGTCTCCCAAATAGCTGGGACTACAGGTGCCCACCACAATGCCCCACTACTTTTTTTGTTGCAGTTGTCATTGTTGTTTTAGCTGGCCCAGGCTGGGTTTGAACCACCAGCCTTGATGGTATGTGGCTGGCATCCCCCCCACTGCATTACAGGCGCCGCCAACAGTGACAACTTTTGAAGTTCAGTTGTGTTTTGATTTCCAAGACAAGCTCCCTCATCCGTGCAAGCCTTGTGTTATAGTCCTTGTAGGGAAGCAAGCAGGCTAAGTGCCCCCTGCTGTCTTCCCGGGAATCAACAGGGAGGTGTGTGGGGGGGTGGGAAGCAGAGGTGACTCTTTGATGCCTAGGACAGTTCCTCCTGTGTGACTGAGTGTCTCGGGGACCCAAGAGTGGTCTTCATGACCTCTGTAAGGCCAAATCCCTTCCCCTTCTCCACCTCCCACCTCCCAACCCTGACTGTGCCTGTGGCTGGTTCCTTGTTCTTTTAGCAGGTCTACTATCTCCTGACTGGGGAGCTCTACATGGGACCGCTGATTGCAGAGGCAAACGCTGACGATCGCTGCCTGACAGACCCTGGCAGCGGGGAGGAGCCCTCTCTAGAGCCTTGTTCCAAGGCAGTGAAAAAGGGACTGCACATATACTGGGATTTTAAACCGGTGAGTTGCACATTTTTTAAAGGAGAAAGTATCTTCCCAAATACGATGAGAGGTTCAGACTTGATTTGACAGTTTTCAGGAAAATTAATTTTTGTGGCAGCATGTAGGGAACAGACCAGAAAAAGGCAACTGGGTATGAAACAGTCTGAATAAGATTAGAAAGAAGAAATACTGGAGTTTGTTATAGTTTAATAGTGGAGAGCTGGGGCTTGACAACTTGAATGATAGGTGACTGAACATGACAGTTCTACTCCACTGAGGCGTATTAAGGTAGTTGATAGTTTTCTTGTGAAGTTCTATTTGGTTCTCAGTGAATCTGCATAAGATAAGATGAACGGGTCCTAAAAGGGGTTAGAAGAAATAGTTAGTGTTGTGGCCGGGCACGGTGGCTCACGCCTGTGATCCTAACACTCTGGGAGGCCGAGGCGGGTGGATTGCCTGAGCTCATGGGTTCAAGACCAGCCTAAGCCAGAGTGAGACCTCATCTCAAAAAATAGCCAGGTGTGGTGGCACCTGCTCCCAGCTGCTGAGATAAGAAAATCGCTTGAGCCCAAGGCTTTGAGGTCACTGTGAGCTGTGACCCTACGGCATTCTACTGAGGGTGACAAAGTAAGACTCTGTCTCAAAAAAAAAAAAAAAAAAAAGTCAATGTTGTATCTTCTCAGCTTGGGGAGATGAGTGATTATATCTCTTCCTTGGTTTGCATCGGTGGAGATAAACTTGTAATTGATATTTAGGAGATGATTGAGGCTACAGTTTTAAGGTTATAACTGACATGCACTCCTTTTATAAGGACTGTATGTCTTAAGGTGTTCTTTAGGGCTGAAGGAAATAAGAACTATTTTACCTACAAATACATTTATTTGATGTATTTTGCGATGGCTGCCAGCAAACGGGAAAAATGCTATAAGGCTGTGTAGGTGGGGAGGCTGGGGAGAGGTTTGTAGAGAATCTCTGTGAAATGCAGCCAGGCCCTGCCTGTTTGATTGGGGACAGGCTTGCTGAGAGTGACATCCTTAAAGGCCTGAAAAAAAATATTTCCCTGAGGGCTGTGATCGTGAGGCGTACCTGCATAAGGAGACCACCTTGCCAGGAGAATGGGTTTCCTTTCTCCCTCCCTCCCGTAACCTGTTCACCCAAAACCCTGTGTAGCCATTTTCTAAACCCCTTCACTTCTTAAAAGAGGACTCCTGTGCCTCACTGGGGGAGGCAGTGGCAGTGCTTGTGTGACTCAGTTCTTGGGCTCAGTTCTTCCTTTGTGGTATAATGAATATTGGGTCCCTGAGATTTTTAATTTGCATTTTACATTCTGAAATCCTAGCTCACTCACATTTAGCGAGCTCCTTCCCCTCTCTGAAGCTCAGTTTCCTCATTTACACAATGGAGATAATAATATCTCCTTTATGGGCCTGTTGGTTGGGGGTATGATGGTAGTCCGTGCGTGTGAGCATGGAGCGTGGTGCCTGGCACAGAGGAGCCTTTGCTGCATGTCAGCCTCATGGTTCGTGTGATTGTTAATGGTCCGCAGAGAGTGTGGTGCACTGGGCTGAAATCGGACAGGGTCTCATATAAAAGTCCTGCCTTTAAATTCAACGAGTGACCAAGAACAGGGTGGAGGGCATCTGGCAGAATGTATGTCACAAGGACAGAAGGACCTCAGACCACAGTCTACATGTGAATTTACATGGATAGGGCTCCTCCAATAGCTTGAGTGTTCTCAAGCGACTTTGGTAGGCCTGGGATGTTCTGGCGGAGGGCAGCGCAGCTCTGTCTGTGACTGTGTCCCTGACGCTGGTCCTGTGTTAGGTTCAGGTGCCACTTTTTAGGAGACATGGACATTCTAGCTCAGCAGTTCCTAACATTTTAAAGCTAATGACTGCTTTAAGAATTTGCCGCTAGCTGTGGACTCTCTCTCTAGAACATATATGTATACTATGTGCAAAATCTTGCTTATGATTTCAGAAGGTTTTTGCGTGCTAGGTTAGCCTCCCTGAACCAGACAGTATTGATGAGAAGGAAGAGGGTAACATCTTCCCAGCCCCTGTCTCCTTGCTTTAAGCTCCAGTGGTATGAACTATGCGATTCAATGAGAGGCCATGCTCCTTCTTACCCGAGGCCCCTCGGCAGGCCGGTGCTATCCCCTCCTCCTACCTCTTCACCAGGCCAACTACAAAGCATTCCTCTGGCCTTAGATGCTGCCTCCTTCAGGAAGCTCTCCATGACACACCCGAGTAGGAGGGATGGTTCCTCCAGGTCTTCTCAGGGTCCCATCTGAAGCCCTCCACTCGCCCACCACCTCTTGCAATTGCCCGCTCCCTGGCTTCTTTCTATCACTGGGCTGCGAGTGGGAGGGCAGGGCCTGGGTGTGCTTGCTGTTTTCTCTAGCGCCACACCTGCAGCTCTCAAGGAGTGATTGCAGAAGAAAGACTGGCAGACCCGGAGGTACCCTATGGGCTTGGAGAGGTGAACCTGGAGGTGGTGTCACAGGGAATAGAGCTGAGACCCATGTCAGGAGTCAGAGTTTGACTTCATGCAAGGAGCGGGGGGAGGACTTTCTACCAGCTTCACAGCTTCAGCTGTCCTACAGGAGAATGGGCGGCACCGCCTGCTAGTGAGTTCTCTGTCAACGGGAGTCATTCTGCAGAGCACTGTTGGGGTCTGGCAGGCCTCGTGTATTAAATGTGAGGTTTTGATGTCCTTAATGGTTTCTTTTGTGTGGAAAAAATACTACTACCAGTTTACTTTGTTTTAAAAAATTAATATTTACTTTAAGTCATAAATTGAAAAAATCTTTGTTTTTCTTTAAGTTTTTAAGTTCTGCTTATAAATCTTATTATTTTATCTCAAAGCCTAGCACATTTTGACAATCACTTTTATAGAGGATTTTTACAATTGAATGAATTAAATTCCCTTGAGCATTATGGGTGGCATTTATAAATTTAATACATTAAATTTTCTTTCTTGAGAATATCAGTTATCTGACTTAAATTTAATAATCCTTTTGTTTTTCCTTTTTAAAGACAGAGTCTCACTATGTCACCCTTGGTAGAGTGCTGTGGCATCACTGCTCATAGCCACCTCAAAGTGTTGGGCTTAAGCGATTCTCTTGCCTCAGCCTCCCAATTAGCTGAGACTATAGGCGCCAGCCACAATGCCTGGATATTTTTTTGTTATAATTGTCATTGTTTGGCAGGCCTGGGCTGGTGTATGTGAATGTGGCTGGTGCCTTAGCTGCTGAACTACAGGCACTGAGACCAAATTTAGTAATTCTTAGTTTCACTTAACTGTTTCAAAAGTGTTTGCAAATTCAGTAAAATTTCAACATAAAGTCACAAATTTAATTACTCAATTAAACATTTTAAATTTGGTATCATAAATTTAAGCTGTAAGATGTTAACTTTTCTTTAACACAATAAGTACTTAAAAATAGTAAATACACATAGAATCTTTAGCAAATACCATGTGTTTGATCTCTTTAACATCTATATGTTATCCTAGCTCTCCTGGGGGATTAAATATGCTACTTATTCTTTTTTTTTTTTTTTTTTGGAGACAGTCTTAAGCTGTCGCCCTGGGTAGAGTGCTGTGGCATTATAGCTCATAGCAACCTCAAACTCTTGGGTTTAAACGATTCTCTTGCCTCAGCCTCCCAAGTAGCTGGGACTACAGGCGGCCACCACGACGCCTGACTATTTTTGTTTGTTTGTTTGTAGTTGTCGGTGTTTGGCAGGCCCGGTCTGGATTCGAACCCACCAGCTCTGATGTATATGGCTGGCGCCGTAGCTGCTGAGCTACAGGCATCAAGTCTATGCTACTTATTCTAAAGAAATAATTATGCATTCCAAACATTTTGAAGGTTGTCTTGCAAAGAGAATTTTGCAAGATTGCCTTCTCAGCTGACAGGCTGCTGCTCGAAGACAGATTTTGGCTGGGTGTGAGATGTGGACTGCAGGACATCTAGGGAAATTTCACCTACCCCACAGATGTCCAGGCTGAGTCCCTTCTTATGGCCACCATAGCAAGAACTCTAAAAGTTAAAGGGGAAAGTCAGCATATAGGTTCAGCACTAGTAGCTCAGTAGTTACGGCGCCAGCCACATACACTGCAGCAAGCAGGTTCGAACTCAGTCCAGGCCTGCTAAACAACAGTGACAACTATAATTAAAAAAGTAGACAGGCATTGTGGTGGGCGCCTGTAGTCCCAGCAACTTGGGACACTGAGGCAAGAGAATCTCTTAAGATCAAGAGTTTGAGTTTGCTGTGAGCTGTGATCCCACAGCACTCTACCAGGGCGACATAGTGAGACTCTGCCTAAAAAAAAAAAAAAAAAGTCAGCATGTAGTTCAAGGTGTATTACCTGATGTTAAGCTAGTATTGAATTGATTTATTCTACCTAATCCTTTCTTATCTATCTGTTAGGACCAAATTTTTTTCAGATATGAAAAATGTTATGTGATCCAACATTGGGGCCCTCTTTTGCTCTATTTACTTTATAAATACAATTTACAAATTTATTCTACTAAAAACTTATAAAAGATATGTTTCAAAATTGAAAAGGAGAGGAGAGTAGATAATCTCTTTATTTTCTTCCAATCCCCTGATTCTGTGATTTTGGGTGATCCAGAGTGAACCTGAGGATGTTATGACCTCTGGGGACTGCAAGAGAGCCAGCCCCAGGGACTTGAGAGGGAACCCCGTGCCGAGAGAGAGGCATTTTGAGAAGTGTGGACTTGGAGATGAGGAGCACAGCGTTGAGAGGAGTGATGCCGCTGAAATAAAAGGGAATTTGGGGAAGGTTATCTTCCAGATGGAGTGATAGCTAACAAAACAAAGGCTCTCCAGCGGAAGTAGAGAGAAGGAGAACGCTTGTAGTCAGCCTTCAACAGTTCAGAGGAAGGGACAGGGAGAGGGGCTCGTACCCGTTCTTGGGGTCATGGAAGGTGGCCCAGTTTCAGAAGCAACTTGCCCATATTTAGGAAAAGCCTGACATTAATCAGAACTCAAATTACATATTAGTGCCTTTTTAAGGCACTAATTCTCTTTTCAGACAGTATCTTAACTTAAGGAATAGTATAGAATGTAAGCCAAGATTAATGTAGAAAATACCTTAATATTGTTCACAGCAAGACATCAGGAAACATGAGCTGTCCAACAGTAAAGGAGATTTCGCTCATCCCTTGAACTGAATATTATATAGCCATTCAAATGATATTATGAGAAAATGTATTTTAAAGGATTGAAATGGGACAGAGGAGAATAACTCATTTCAATTCAAGTTGGGGGGGGAGGGGGAATGAAGTGAGGAGGGAAGAGGAGGAGGGATTAGAGTGCTCCCACTTAATAAGCACAATGTAGGGGTGTATGGCACAACTTTGGGGTGTAGGACACAACTATAAGAGGGACTCTACCTAAGAAACTCAAATATTGTGACCTGGTTGGTTGTACCCTCACATTAACCTGAAATTTAAAAAAAATAGATAATATACATATATTTTTTGACACAGAGTCTTCCTTTGTCACCCTTAGTAGAGTACTGTGACATTTCAGCTCACAGCAACCTCCAATTCTTGGGCTTAAGTGATTCTCTTGCCTCAGCCTTCCAAGTAACTGGGACTACAGGCACCCACTACAATGCCTGGCTATTTTTGGTTGCAATTGTAATTGTTATTTAGCAGGCCTGGGTCAGTTTCAAACCCTCCAGCCTCTGGTGTATGAGGCTGGCACCATAACCATTGTGCTACAGGTACCGAGCCAAAATAGATAATTTTTAAAAACAGGTAAACAATATTAAAATGGGAAAATACATATGCATATAGTATTATATCTGTACAAAGAAGCAAGATATAAAAACCATATAGACAGTGTTATCCCATTATGAGTGCTTTTAATTTTTTTATAGATACATTTTCCAAGTTAAAAAAATAAGTTTACATTCCTTTTGTAGAAGTAAAAAAGAAACAAAGACAGAAATTTTTAAAAAACTCTTGACACTCTTGGAACCTATAGCTCAGCAGTTAGAGTGCTGGCCACATACACTAGGGCTGGTGGGTTCAAACCTGGCCTGGGCCTGCTAAACAACAATGATGACTACAACAACAAAAAAAGCTGGGTGTTGCGGTGGGCACCTGTTCCCAGCTACTTGGGAGGCTGAGGCAAGAGAACTGCTTAAGCCCAAGAGTTTGAGGTTGGTATGAGCTGTGAGTCCAGGGCACTGTAAAAGGGGTGACATGGTGAGACTGTGTCTCAAAAAAAAAAAAAAAAAAAAAAAACTCTTGACAGGCAACATCCCAAAATAAAAGCAAAGATAAAACTGTGTAAGACCTAGGTGAACACAGTGGTAGATAAACTAGAGGATGTAAGAAATACTGTGATAGCATTTCTAGCCCAGAAATGGAGAGAAAATAGAAAATAGGCCATCAGCTTTGTGTAAAAAGTCACAATGAATTATAGTGACCAAGAGTTACTGAGCACATATTATGGGCCAGGCATTAGGGTAAACATTACCTAATTTAGTCCCTATGAGTCTGGGTCTTCTAAGAGAGATATCATTAGCGCTGTCTCACCTGTGAAGTAACGAAGGCACTCAGAACTCAAATAATTTGCCCAAGGTCACACAGAGTAGTAAATGCCCAGGACTGAAGCATGGAATTGGAACCACTGTGTGTTTTTGCTTTGCTGCTTGGGAATTTGATTCTGGAAGGGAGAGAAACAGTGAGTGTTAGTCGAAAGGATGGTAAGAGCGAATGTCTGGGTGTTTTTAATGTAATTTTTCATTTTTTTGGTCCTTCTAATATTCTGACATTTGGATGTATCTAAAGTAGTAGAAAAGGAGTCTGCCAAGGGAGAGAAATAAAAGAAGGCTAGTAGACAGGAAGACCCCCCCCACCCCCAACCCCGGGGATGGCCAGCGCTCAGAGCAGAGAGGGGGCTGCTGGCAGTTGAGATGGTCAGGGAGGCAGTGTCCTCAAGATTGCCCATGGCCTTCAGGTGAGGGGCTAGAGGGACTGGAAGTATGGGCCTCTTAACATTGAGTTAATGTGAGCCTCGAGGGTTGGGGACCTGGGGACAGTGTGTGCTGAGAAAGCCTGGAAGCATAACCCTGAGGAGGAAGCCAAGCCCCGAGGCCAGGCTGCTGCACTGCGTCTGTGAGCCAGGTCTGCCTGGGCAGGGCTGCTGTCCAGAGTGCACTGTGGTCTGGAAACAGGGGCCCAGAGAGAGGAGCTACTGGGGTGGAGGTGCCTGCGGCAGTGAAATTCTGGAGTTGCCCCGGAAGACTGATGCTGGATGGGTGCCTGAGGACACAGGAGTGGAGGGGCCAGGAGGAGGGGTAGGCGCCTTTGGAGGAGCTGGGCTTGTGGGGGTGATTTGTGATTAGGAGAGATGAGAGGCAGGGAGGTGGTGCTGAGAAGGGAGCAGAGACCTGCAGGAGTGAGGGCTGGTGGCAGTCTATCTGAAGGGGGACAACGAGGTCAGGGCTTCTCACCAGACATCAGGGCAGTTGTGCACTCTGAGGGGGAGAGCAGAGGGCAGTGGATGAAGGGGACACAACCCGAGCCAGGAATGTAGAGCTCATGAGCGATTCCTGCCCAGGGTGAGGCAGGATGTGGGGAGGGAGAGGGCTGGGAGTGGAGACCCGGCCAGAGAGGGGGCAGTGTGGACAGATGGCAGGATGGTCAGTTGTTGAGACATGGAGATCAGGAGGAAGGTGCTGGGTGTGGGGCTGGGAGGGGCACACGGGAACCGGGGAAGGACGGCCCTTCCTCCCTGCACCCCCTTCAGAGCAGATTGTGGCAGACAGGAACTAACACCATTGCACACGTTTCATGTGCCAGGTACAAGATGCTCAATCAATATTAACCCCTTTTAACTTTAATATTCACCCTAAACCCATTTTATAGATGAGGAAATTGAGACTGGGAGAGATTAGATATTTGACAAAGGTCACACCGTTTGTGTGTGGAGAGCAGGGATTCAACCCTGGCTCTTGTAGAACTAAAGCCCCAAATGTTCCCAGACATAAACCTGGGGGCAGCCCCCATGACAGGAGAAGCAAAGAGCCGCCCCAGAGCAGTGGCAAAAATAGACTGAAACTCCTGAATGTCACTCTGCTTCCCGCCTGCAATAGAGAAGGGAGAGGAACACAAGGCGGGGCTCAGGTGAGGACGTGGGTCAGAGGGCCAAGTCAAGAAGGCCCACAGCTCTCCAAGATGCCCTAATGTTGTGTGATCAGCACTGACCTGACACTTCTATCCCGGGAGAGCCTGAGGGCATCCCTCGAAGCTGGCGTCCTATCGCTATCTGGTTAGGGCACCGTGGAACTGTGTGAGGAAGCACCGGGTGACCTAATCCCACGCTGTGTTCTCTTTCCTCCCCTGGATGACTTGCAGATGATGGAGGGATCCCTCGAGCATGTGGAGGGGGGGAGTCATAGCAGGGAGAATAAGTATAGGGAGGGATACGCTGCTAGGACATTTCAACACCTTGATTCTGTCTCTCTCCTCATCCAGGGAAGGGCTTTCATAAACAGGGCCACCAAACGGTGTCTGGAGATCAAGAAGACCTCTGCTGGCAGCTATGAGCCCGTGCTCCAGACCTGCACCACGCAAGTGTGGGAAATACAGCACACCGTGGGGAACTGGGGCCAGACTGATCGCCAGTGAGCCTCAGAGGGCCTGATGTGGGCACCCGTTTTTGTAACTGGAATGGGCTTCTACCCCCAGCACTGCTCAGAGTGGGAGAGAATGGGGGACAGTGTGTCCAAGTGTGTGTGTTTATGGTGACTTTGGTGTGGGGTTCACAGAGCGTATCTGCTGGGGAAAGTGGAGGAAATCTGGATGCCTCGTCTCCAGCTTCCTGGGGAAGGCTGTGTCTCAAATGCCATTCTTGGAACCTCCTCGAAATAACCAGCACCCTCTGTCTGTTACACGGGGAGGGAATGAGGAGGATGGAAGTTTATCTCTGATTTCTGCCCACACTGTTTAGCCTTCTTTCCCCACAGCTACTGTCACCATCTGCCCCACACCTCCTCCCCAGCTCATCTGCTCAGGGACTCCTGTCTCCCGTGAGCGGCTGGGTCGTCCTGAGGCCGGCAGCGTGACAACTCTTCAGTTTACTTAAATCTCCCTTCTCTCTGGACTCCCTGAAAGGTGCAGAAGTAATACAAGTAACTTGAAAAACATTCCTCTGTTCATCCTCCCATCCACGGTTTTAGCTGGATTCTCAATCTCTCCCATACCAGAGAGGACGCAGAGGCAGAGGAGAGGAGAGAAAGGACCTCACCAGGAATTGCTGCTCTTTAAAGGACAGTGATGTCTAAGTAGATCCTAACACTTAATGACTTGATTACCTGTGTCCTTCTCCAACTCCTGTGAACTATGGAGAAAATGAGATTTGAAACAGAAGGTGTCACTTACTGGGGCACAAAGAAGAGGTTGCCCCCCAAACTTAAAAGCAGCGGTCTTTACAGCTGTCCACTGGATAAGTCCTTTCCGCTAGCTGGTGAGTTGGACAGACACACCTTGGGCTGCCAATTTTTGACAAGGTCCTGGAGGCTGGTGGGAGTGGGGTGCCATGGTGGGCTAGGAGGTAAGACAGCCTGTGTGTGTGTTGTGTTGTGGGCTAACTCTTTAGGTATGAGCTCCCAAGGCCCCTTTCTGAAAGGGCTGCCCCTTCCCATTAGTCCCGTGTCAGGGCCACTTGGGAACGATTCTAGGAATCATTAGTTTTTCTTTAGAGATTAGACAGACAAGACTGATAAGTTAGCACAGAATAAAATTGACGCAGACTTTTTATTTTTAAAAAAGCTTATAAAAGTGTGTAAGTCATCAATGCACACACAGCTTGATAAAAATTTCAGGATGAACACATCCACATCAAGAACTAAAACGTTACTACAGATAAGATTTTGCCATGGAAAAGTAAAAGCACAGAATAAATGTTAAACAAACGTATAACTGCTAGCGTCTGCCTGGAAAATTGAAGGGAAAATTGCAATTCACAGCAAAGTTTTCAAAAAGCATGTACTCAACAGAAAAATGGGCAAAAGGCACACTGTCCTTAAATCTATGAAAAGACGTTTAATCTCCCTCCCAGCTAGAGAAATGGAAATTAAAACTGTACTCAGATAACTTTTCACTTAAATTGGGGGACATCAAAAGTAGCAAAACACATTGTGTTGGCAGGGCTGTAGGGAATAGGCAATCTCAGACTTCTTGGAAGGGTATTTAACAATATCTAAAAATACTACATGTGCATTTTCTACCTCTAGGGACCTATCTCCAAAAATAAGAGCTATTGCTCAAAGTAATTTACAGTATTGATTGTGGCTGGAAAATGTTGGAGGAAAACCCTAAAGGGCCAATGATAAGAGAATGTTTGCATATAGCCATCCAATGGAGTATTACACAGCTATGAAAAGAATAAGGACCATCTCTCTGAACTCAGCAGGGGAGGATTTCTAGAATATTCAAACTGAAAAGCGGAAAACAGCACCTATAGTATGTACCTTTCAGGTAAGAAGTTAGGGGAAAACACAGGGGGCCATAAAGGTCGTGTGCAATTTAAAATAGACAACTAACGAACTTCATGGCCACCCCGTATATACAGACTTGTTCTTTCCTACAACAGGAAGCACAAGAGTGATAAACCAGAAACTAATGAGATGGGTTCCAATGGAATAGGGCAGAAAGAATCGAGGATAGGGATAGAATAAAAGGGATATGAGGAGAGTGGCACTTCTATAAATACACATTTTTCTATAGTTTTGACTTTTAGAGCCATGTTATATGGCTCTAAAATACACGTGCTTAAAATACATGTAAAGTCACTAAAAACCCAAAATAGAATCTAGACAAAAATAAGTGAATTTAGCTATATTTTTCATATTTTAAGTCAACACACATTCCCCCATGTGTGCGTACACCACACACGCACAGAGCTTGCCTAGCGTTCAGCATCTAAATCGGTGGTTCTCAACCTTCCTAATGCTGCGAACCTTTAATACAGTTCCTGTGGGTCGTGACCCACAGGTAGAGAACCACTGATCTCAATCTTCTTTCTAAATACCTTCCAGTAAAGGGAATTAAGGCTTTTTGGAGAAATAGCTGACTTTAGGGTGGGGGTGGGACACAATCCTATGTTAGAAAATAAGGAATTGCTCAAAGATTGATGGGGGTGTGTCAAAAACTGCAATAGCTGGGTTGAAGGGGCTTCTACTGGCCACATCTGGGACAATTTGAGCAGTAAAATAAATAATGATAATTGTAACGGAGTGATTGATATTACCGTCACCAGTCGTTGTGTGGAAATAATGGGCCTCCTGATAGGACGCACTAAGAAGAATGCAACATCGCCTGTGCGGTATTCCTGTCAAATACGCGGAACCTGAACCTGTAATCTTGAGGATTGCCTAAAGCCAACCTGAGGGACACTCTTCAAAGGAAACGGCTGTGTGCTTCAAAAATGTCAAGTCGTGAAAGGTGAAGACGGACTGAGGAACTGTTCCAAGTCAACGGAGACTAGAGAGGCAGGATGACTAACTGTAATGTGTGATCCTAGACCCGAGGGGATTTTTCTTCTTTATTTATAAAGAACAGCAGTAGACGATACATTTGCATAGGTTTTGTTGATGAGATGATAGTGCTTTATCGATTTCGTTTTCCTGCTTCTGATCTTTGTGCTCTGGCAGTAGAAGAGGTTGTATACAAAATACTCATGGCTGGACTGGGGGAAGGGAATTGCCTCTGAGATTTATAGCTAGATGGACAGACAGATGGATAGGAGCGAGGTCTGATAAAACAAATGTGGGAAAGTGAATCTAAATGAACAGTAAAGGGTATGTAAGAATTCTTTGTACTGTGTTTGCAAATTTTCTCTAAGTCTGGAATTGTTTCAAAATCAAAAAGATATAAGGCAAACTCAAACAGAAAGTGCCCATCTACACATTCATCTCTGCTTACGAAACTGGCACTGTAAGGAGTAGCAGCTTAATCCAAATTCCGCGTGCCTTTTTCTTTATGGGAAAGCTGTAATTCTCTTACACTTATAGGGAGGATGACATAGAGTTCCTTGGGCTCCTCCAGCCTTCCAGAGGTTCTCAGCTTCCTCTAGCAACCCTGTTCTGCAGGGCAGCCTGTTGGTTCCCACAAACAGGTGTTGATTTGCTTCCTTGACCCTAAAACAACCTACGCAGTACATGGAATTCTGTTCCTGTGGCCACTGTCTACTTCCAGCCTTCATTGGTGAGGACATGTAGAGGTCCTCCCAGTGACTGTCTTTAATCCACTCAAGAAATATGTTCCCATGGGCAGTGCCTCTGGCTCAACGGGTAGGGTGCTGGCCCCATATACTGAGGGTGGTGGGTTCGAACTGGGCCCTGGCCAAACTGCAACAACAACAACAAAATAGTCCAGCATTGTGGCGGGCGCCTATAGTCCCGGCTACTCAGGAGGCTAAGGCAAGAGAATCACCTAAGCCCTAGAGCTGGAGGTAGCTGTGAGCTGTGATGCCAAGGCACTCTACTAAGAGTGGCAAAATGAGACTGTGTCTCTAAAAAAAAAAAAAAAAAAGAAAGAAACTGTTTCCTTGGCAACCAAGTTAATTATTCACTGATTCCTCTCTGTCTGTTTTTTGGAGATTCTGAAGCTCTGCTATATATCAATGTTACCTTGTAAGCAATAGTAAATATGACAGATATTATGTAGCTAGTTGACAACCTTACAGTAGAAAAGATCCCCAAAACCCAACAGAGAAGCTCCTTGGTCCCAGGAGTCGAATCTCTGAAACTGTGATCTACACATTCCTTTCCCTCTGCTTCAGAGAGTGAAAATCTCTTGCAGTGGACACTTTTTCCCCATTCTACATTATCTCTGGGGTTCCTGATGGCTATACCTGGTCTGTCCCCTCTGGGGACAAGCCATGCCTATTGCAGCCTTAAGGAACCACACTTTGCTGTTGTTAAATGCTCCTCTGCTGCTGGCCCTGACCAGGCAGACTTGTTTCCTCTTTTCACTCCGCCTGTCCTACACTAAAACTACAAAGCAGCTCTGTTCCTCTCCCGGCCCTCCCCACAACCTCAAACAGAAATCTGGGGTGCGTGTCTGTCCCTGTTTTGAGTGTGGCCATCAGTTTCCAAGGATTCTGGTGCTTTCTCAAAGGGAACAGGGAATGGGAACAGGGGTCACTGCTGTCATGTGACTGGTTGTCTCTCTTCTCCAGGCTATAAGTGTCATCCACAGCAGTCTTGAGCATTCCACCCCTTTCAGTGAGCAACTTCTTCCCTTGTGGGGGACCTAGGGGGTGCAGGACCCAGGGCTGTACCATTGACACACTGAGGATCTAGCCTTTTAAAGGCAGTCTCTTATGGAGTTCTTTTCTTTTACTTGAAATACATTTTTTACAGTAGGAAATGTGCTTTTAGCTAATTTTCTACATTTAACAAAATTTGTAAAGTCCTTTTATAGAGATTAAATGGAATAGAATTAGTGCCTGTAATGTCATGGAGAGTTGTCACCAGGATTGGTGGGTAAAATCAACTGCTCATGACTAACTTGTCGAGCTGTAATTTAAAAAAAAAACAAACAATTTTCTTCCACAAACATTTTAACAAATGTAGTTTCAAGGACCAAACTTGTCTCTAGATTATAAGTCTACCATCCTTGGA